CTCCATGCATTGTCATGAATACAGATCTTGGGTAGAGATGCTTGCCCAAAAGGAAAATCCCACATTTCTGGTCCATAGGAGAAACACTTACTTTTAAACATTATTAAACATTATCAAAGACTTGAGTATGAACCTTTTTTTGGATATGTGCAAATAGCAGCTCTGACCTTTTCAAGAAGGTGGTTGAAGGAATGACAGGAAGGTTGTGCTCACACAGTCTAACATGTCCGCCACCGGTGGGAAACTAAAAGAAATCCTAGTTTGCCACAAAGAAGTAAAATGGCATAAATGACTTGGAATCCGTCCGTCTGTCCATCCATCCATCCATTTTCATTCGCTTATCCGAGGCCGGGTTGTGGGGGCATCATGCCAAGCAAAGTACCCCAGACATCCCTCTCCCCAACAAGGCTTTCCAGCTCCTCCGGGGGGACCCCAAGGTGTTCCCAGGCCAGATGAGATATATAGTCCCCTCCCTGGCCTCCTACCAGTGGGACGTGCCCAGAACACCAACAGGAAGTGCCCAGGAGGCATCCTGATCAGATGCCCAAACCACCTCAACTGTCCCCTTTCGATGCCAAGGAGCAGCAGCTCTACTCCGAGCTCCCTCCGGATGTCTGAGCTCCTCACCCTATCTCTAAATCTGACCCCAGCCACCCGACGGAGGAAACTCATTTCGACCGCTTGTATCCGCAATCTCATTCTTTTGGTCACTACCCAGAGCTCAAGAGCTTAGTAAGACTGTTGTCTCTTTCTGAATAAGGGCAAAACCCAGAACATTTTGTGTATGTAATCATCATCATCATGACATGGTAGCTTGTAAGCATGCTACATTTGTTAATTGGCTGGGACTGAGTTAGTTACAAGTTAGACCTGATGATGCTGCTAAATGGAAAGTTAGAGGATAAGCACAGTGATTTCAATTAATCTTGATGGGGGGGGCGTGAATGTCTGAGCCAAATATCATGGTAATTCTTCAACAGCTGCCGAGACAATTCACTGAAATACAACAATGTCAACCTCATGAGGCCGCTACCGGGTCCCTTAAAAGTCATTAGGATACAGTGTCTGGGAAGATGATTGTCTGTAAAAAAAATCTCCTGATACAAGACAGAGCTGTCAATGTGTTGCACTCCGTTTCCATCTTCAGTCTGACATTTCTCTACCCAATTACTAGAGACCACAGACTGTATAATAAGATGTTTATATTCTCTTGTCTCTACAGTATAATGAGCAATTTGTTTTCTGGGTTTTTGGTTTTCAGTTGTTTTTTTTTTCCTTTTTCATGTTATTCATTCATGGTTTGTCTTATTTTCTGTATTATTTTATAGGTTCACTCCTAATGGGTCATGTCTGGTGTTACTTCCTGCCTTTGTGTGTTTTGTCTGCTCCACCCTGATTTGTTTTACCTGTTTCCCATCAATCCCGCTGTCCCCTGCCCCCCTCTTTCACCCTGCGCTCCTTCTGCTCTTCTCTTGTTTTTTGTCAGTCCATCTGCAATGGTCTCCTCACTACTTGTTTGATTGGAAGTCTTTTTTTGAACGTTACAATTTGATGCTATAAAATGGAGATTTGGCGTCATGATCGACAGCTGTGTGCCAATCAGTGTGCTAGCGATCGATGGTGCTGCTTGCAATTGGTCGGACAGGTGTATGGGCTGGTCTCGATACCGTGGAGGTCGCTACTTCCCAGACTCTGACTCCAACTGATGTCACCAAGGCACAGTGAGAGGAAATAGGGATGAGTTATCCATATTTATAGACAGACTATGATTGAGTCCACACCAATGCATACCACTTTTCTAAGTTCTAGTTCTAAGAGTACGGTCGAGTGAAGTAAAACAAACTCTGATGTTGGACAATACTGGAAAGACATGTCGATTTAGAACAGCCTCTATAGCAGTGTCTATCTTGTCTGTAGCAGTTGACATTGCTATTATTACTCCTCATTGGTTTTGGCACATAGCTTGACAACAGCATTGATAACACCTCTGGCGCTGACTGGCTAATTGTTTGTCACCCAGCGCTTATTGCACTGATGGATTGTCAACCAAGAAACCGCTGTTTCATGTCATGGTGCCAGAGGAATTAGTCAGTTTGGTGGAGTGGGCGGATGAAAAGGTCTGGACCCAGGCAAGAAAATCTGATATCAATCCATCTAACAGTCATAGAGATATTTCAGTCTGGACCAAAGTGGTGGACTGATAGAGGTTACCATCCCTGGCTGGGCTAAAGTGAAACAAGAAAACGAAACAGAAAAAATATATTTAACAAAAAAGCACTGACTTTTAATAAGATATTTACAAACCCTACACAGATGGTAGGTAACCATATGTCAAAGAAAATAAAAAAGGTGCCGTAAAGGAATCCAACACATTTTACCTCCTTCCCTCCCAAAACGTATTCACCATACATCTTTAACGACTGGCTGATCAACAGGTGCGTTATTGATTTTCTGAGGCTGCTCATACAGTCGTTCTGCTGGCTGCAGCTGTTAATGAAATCACCACAAACATTTCAGAAACTAAACAAAAAACTTCTCCTGCCATCAGCCAAAAAAAGATCTGACTCACTTCCACTCACCCCAGGCTTTTGCCGCTATAGCATTCTTCCGTCGGCTGGAACAAAACGACCACGACTCAGCAGAAACATAAACACCTCAAACACCAGGCGTGCATGCAAACAAAGGGATTCATATTTAATTCATAAGCTCTTGCAATGCAGGAAAACCAGATTTTCCGATACGCTGAGGCCTGGAAGCTCCTCGCAGCCGGCTCTGGAGGATCTGTTCTGTCTACCAACAGACAACAGCCAGGCCAAGACACAGACGGGAAGTAGCTTCTTAGGCTGGTTAATGTCAGTGGATATTTACTGTCACTGGGTGGGCTGTTGCATCCCGTGGGGCACAGCTGCATTTCCCACAGGACAGTTCCATCTTAATGGGCACAAAACGCATAATGAAGCACGGCTGGCGAAGAAATGGATGCAGTGGCAGTGAAACCATTTTCACCCTGGGAATTGTCTCTTTGTAATCTACTGTACCGTGAGAGTTGTTTGTCTTCTTCTGCACAGAAAAAAAAGGATACATGTTTGAACCGAAGGGGAATAAATGTTCTTGATTAGTGCTCTCATACTTAAAGGGAAAGTTCAACGCAAAATCCAAAATATATATTCTACATCTTACCTGTGGTGCTATTTATTAGGGATGGGCATTTTAAGTAATTTCCATATTTGAGTACTCCCATTAAATTATTAAAGAGTACTCGAATACTCGCAGAAAAACAATTATCATAACAATAGGAATTTAAATTGGCCAACAATGGAAAACAAGCATGATTTGAAATTCATTTATTGAACAACATGGCTTCATTTAGCCTACTAAATCATACATCACATAATTAGCAAACTTTCTGTTGCTGCCTTTACATAGCTTGGACCCTAGACTGTATGTAACAATGGCAGACACGTCTCCGCTTACTCCCTCTGTACAAAAATGAAGCCAATATACCCCAGATACAGCTGCTGCCATCTTGTGCTGGTGATGAGATTTGGAGTCTCTGCAGCACCACCCCAACACCCATCTAACTTATCGCGAGCAGCGTCATTTAACATGAGCACACTGATTGCCACACAGAGCTGTCCATCATGACATAACACCCGATTATAGCATAAAACAACATAAACAAATTAAAAGCAAACCTATAAGAAAAATTATATAATAAATAAAACGCTTGAGCAAACATCTGTGTGATAAGAACTACTTAAAATGTCAGAAACAATTGTTTGGGAAAAAAATTCTATAAAATGTTCTTTTGAGTTTTCAGCTTGTGGAGGGGGCAGGGCTTATAACCTTTAGTGCAGCCAGCCAACAGGGGGCACCTGAGATGTTTTGGCTTCAGTTTTGGGAAGCTGTAATGTCTTTACTGTATATACAGTTTATGGGTTTGACGCAGCACTGAAGGACTGTCTCCAGTCTTCTCCTGGTCAGTTCAACATCTGCTTGATTAGCACAAGCTAACACGGCAGCGGTGGCTAACATTCGACACCGACACCAACGTTTAACGGTCCCAGTAAACTCATACCAACAGTGAAACAGCTCTGTCGTTAAACCTGTTAGTAACTGTAGGTTAACGTTAGCTGTGTGGTGCTAACAGTTAGCCCGGTCACTGTGTGTGTGTGTGTGTGTGTGTGTGTGTATGTGCGGCCTCTCACCAACTGTCCCCAGCACAGAGCTATATATATATATATAAGTCACGTTCATATGTGAGAGGTTAGGTGGTCAATACTCTGTGCATTTAGGAAATACTGACGTCCAAATCGAGTACTCAGATGCTCATGCCCATCCCTAATATTTATCAGTCCTGCACCACCAATGGTTGTGGATCCGCTCATATTTTTGGTTATCATTAATACAACCTGTTCAAACAACGCCATTTTATTCTAAAATGACACAGGATTGCGTAAATTAGGAACAGTGTATTAAACCAGCTGGAATCAGGGTTTAAAAATGTTTCTATTAGCAACATTAGCATTATCTTAGAGGTGTAGTATAATTCAGATACTGTACAAATCAGTGTTCAGCTTTAATTTGAAGTGATGCTTTTTTTAGCATGTGAAATGATTCAATGAAAAAGTCAGGGTGCATAACTGCAGTGAGATCTCATCTTAATATGCAAACATATTCACATTCACACTGCAGTTTGTCAGGAAACACAACAGGAGGCGGCTGTGTATGTATGTGTGTGTGTGTGTGTGTGTGTGTGTGTGTGTGAGTGTGTGTTGAGGGGAGGGGGTTAATTTGCAGGCCTAATGTCTAATGTCACAGGAAGCACCAGCAGCCATATTGATCATTTTTCAAGCTCTGCCTCATTTCACTAAGAGGCTCAGCCCGACTGCTGGTGGCATTTTCAATTCACTTATGAGACCTACAGAAAAACAACTGCAGCTCCAACGGCAGCAGACAAAGCCACATGATGTTTATCTGAAAATAAAACAATGGTTCTGTTTGCAGTTATTGTGAATATTACATTTATTTAGTGATTCAGGTCACAAAATGTGTTATCCAACAATACAACAATTTAGAAAACAGCAATATTATTAGTTGCAGTGGAAGCATAAAGTTAGGCAAATAAAACGCACTAACTATTATTATTACAGCTTACATACACACTATTAAAACTCAATTAGTCTGTATGAGTGGAGCTGTAAATTTTATGGCTTGTATTTTTAATGCCGATAAGGGATTTTGTTGCCCTCTACTGGTTGGGGAGCTTTGCAGCAGCATCTCTTAATACAATAATTACAAAATATTATGTATTCTTCATTATGACAATTAGACATAACCAGTTAAACAGCATGGTATCTGTTTCAAATTAATTTGACATATATTTATGTTAAACAAAACTCAAGAAGTGTGTTTCTATCCACCTGATGTTAGGCGCATAAAAAAACCTGAGTGGGAGAAAGTCGAAATATTGCGAAAAACTTGTAGGCATGGCTGACGTGGAACTGTTGATTTATTGTTAAAAGCAAAATATGTACCAGGAACAGGCTTAGTGAATAAATTCTGATGTATATAACGCTTGTGATGAGCTTCCCTTCCACCACTAAGTGTTTTACCTCAATATACCAACTTCTAATATGTGCACAGCAGCAGTGGATTGAAATGCGCATCAAATTTAATTTTCTCTTGCAGAGCTTCTGGAAATTTAAAAGTTTTTATCTGTATGATTAATAACCGCCGTATTATATGATCTTTCACATGTATAAGCACTCTAAACACTGACACCTCTGCATAAAAGCCAGTACACCACTCTACTCTTCATTGTGCACTTAAAGCTGGGGTAGGCGGTTTTATTTTGGCATCACAAAAATCCCTTGATAAAGTTTGAGGATATTGTAATTTAAGTGATCTGGGAGAAAACTAGACCCATGCAGCTCCTCCTGCCCCTTTTACGGGCTTAAGAAAATGCAGAAGTGCGTGCATGACTTCTCGGTGAAACCCTGATTCAGTATCGGAGAGTCCTACAGAGAAAGTTGGTATTCCAGCATTGGCAAATGCTTACGCTGCAAAGCAACCCAAAAAAGAAAGATGGACTCAAAAAGAGAATCTGACAATAAACGCAATTAAACAAGTCATTACTGGTGAAGCGTTTCAGAGAATGAGATAACGTGCTATCCAGAGCTAAAGGCTCAGGACTGAACCTTCAAGATCACGTTAATGTAGCTAATTTTCACAGTGTTTGCTCCACCTCACTCCACCAGGAGGAAAGCAGGCAGCAGCTCTGGAGCCAGAACCTCAGTTTGCGGCGGCAGCATCCCAACCTAGCCATCACAAACCCCATCTCCGCCCTGACTCCTCGCTGGATTCGCAAACTTTCTGTTGCTGCTGTTACACAGGTTAGACCTGGTGCTGTCGCTGGTTACCAGTGACACCCCGCACTGGCTGAATTCGAGCCTCTACAGCCACCGACAGAAGGTGTGTCTCCTGAGCTCCTGCCGTTCTCCTCACGGTGAACTAGTCAACAGTGGCGGGAGATGAGTAGCTAGCTAATTCTTGTTTTGTTTGTCGTTTGATAGACAAGAAGGAGAGAGCGAAGCAAGGCAGGGCTGAGCAAATGAGCTGCAGGCAACTTTACAATTAAATATGATAAAATAACAAAACACTGTAGTGGATAAACTAGGTTACTCTATGAATTGTGTGTATATGCCCTTGATCGTCTGGTGGGAGCGGTGGAGAACAGAGAGGAGAGAGTTGCAGGGAGAAGGTGTATTTTCAAAATCTGCTGTTTTTTTGTTTTTGACCTCCCCCAGCTTTAATGGATTTGATTACCACATTAACCAAAGCATTATGTGCAACCGTCATTAAGCTCCTTCAAATGACATTATCCATTAAAATGACACCTGCCCTCACCTCACCTTTGTCCCTAAGCAATCACACAGGAATCAGAATTTTTCTTTGGTTTTGCGCTTGCTGGGGAAGACGGAGGAGATGGCATGGGTGGGTTAACTGTCCTGCTGGACAGGTATTGGTAAGAGGATGCACTGGGTTGGTAAGACAATGTGCTGGGTTGGTATGAGGATGTGCTGGATCTATAAGGTGATGAGGCTGTGCTGGATAGAGCTGATGTGCTGCGCGGATAAGCTGATACACTGGGTTGAGAAACTGGTCTTGGTGCTGGTGCTGGTCTTGGTGTTGGTGCTGGTGCTGGTCTTGGTGCCGGTGCCGGTGCCCGTGTCGGTGCTGCTGCTGCTGCTGGTGTGGACGTGGATCCGTATAAATCAACGAGTGGGTGCGTGGTCTTGTACTGCAGCAGGTACTCGGGATAGATCTGGTGCTTCTCAAACACAACATAGATGGTCGGGTTTATAACATCGTCTACGCAGCTGTTATAGAAGTTTATATCCCCGCCGTCCTTGGACGGAGCTCGGCGGTACGTGGAGCATCCTTTGGTGTAGTCTCCCACCAGCACTCGTGAGATGAACATGGTTTTGACTGTTGAGTCACCGGTGTAGCTGTGGGAGTATTTTGCATCCCTGGCAAAGTAACTACCTGAGTTTGGACACAGAGAGTTCTGGATTATTGTTAAGTCATTATATTGTCTGTAGAAAGACGCTAGGGTCTGCAGTTATTTTCATTAGCAATTAATCTGCAAAATATTCACTTAAATAAACAATCGTTTGTTTATCTGGTCCATAAAATGTCAGAAAATAGTACTTTTTTTCACAAGCATAATTCCCCAGCACCCAAGGTGTCGGACCAACAGTCTAAACCCAAAGATATTTAACTCACCATCAAAGCATCAAATCATCACAATCATGAGGCTAAAACTACTGAATCTTTTGCACCTTTGCTTGATAATAGAGGTTGACCGATTCATCCGTTTGGCTGATTCATCGGCGCTGATAGGACTTTATATACACTATCATTAAAGGTGGAACGGGGCTCCGATAGTGGTCGATAGCTGTAACCTCCACTAGTCACGTGGGTACAGTTGTAAGGCTTTTGCACAGAGTACCCCACATGCAAATACAAGGTAATGTGTGCTTTAGATAATCTTGGATAAGATGAAAGATAAATGAAAGTTAACTACTGTAGGACAAGTAGATGGGTAATTGACTGTATTTTACCATGTGTGGCTGTTATAATTTGTTTGGCTTATTAACAGACGGCCTCTCGTAGCCTACACTTTTATGTTTGGCATATGAGAATGAATCTTAAAAAAGGTCATTTTGAAACTGTACCTAAGCCTTCAACAACTAAACAAGAAAAATACACTTGAGTTGAAACAAGGTGGGAAACAGAAGGTAATCTGACTTATCACACAAGGGGAACGGGAAGAGATACTTCATCAACAACGGAAAACAATAAGCTCTCCATCCTGGAGAGAATTTAGTTGGAAGAATGTCATGCGTAACTTTTGTACTCCTGCCCAGAAAAAAATCTTTTTCAAACCAGACGGACTGTTGGACATCGTGTGGGAACAAAGAAGCAAATCACTTTGATGTCTTTTGGGCATGCACCTCCATCACCCCTTTTTGGACTAAAAATTATTGCATTCTTGAAACTGTTTTCCTAACCACAATAAGGGGCGACAGTAGCTCAGTCCATAGGGACTTGGGTTGGGAACCGGAGGGTCGCCTGTTCAAGTCCCCGTCCGGACCAAAATATGGAGCGTGGACTGGTAGCTGGAGAGGTGCCAGTTCACCTCCTGGGCACTGCCGAGGTGCCCCTGAGCAAGGCACCGAACCCCCCCAACCGCTCGGAGCGCCTGTCATGGGCAGCCCACTCTGACATCTCTCCACTTAGTGCATGTATAGGTTCAGTTTGTGCGTGTGTGTTCGGACCTGTGTGTAATTGACAGAGTGAAAAATTGAATTTCCCCTCGGGGATTAATAAAGTGTATATATATATATATATATATATATATATATATAAATTAACCTTTAATTCTGAACTGATGTACCTGATTAGACTGGAGGGGAAAAGATAAATATCTGCTAAGAATATTATTGGTGACATGTCAGAAATCCCTAACCAAGAAATGGCTGAAAAAAATAAATACCTAGTACTGATGAATGGATTGACTTGTTACATAATATACACTGATCAGCCAAAACATTAAAACCACTGACAGGTGAAGTGAATAACTTTGATTATTTTGTTCCAATGCATTGTTCTGCTGGGAAACCTTTGATTCTAGCATTCATGTGGATACCACCTGACATGTTCCTTCCCCTCATGGCAACAGTACTCCCCAATGACAGTGGCACCCCAGCAGAAGAAAGCAGCATGCCGCACTACAAAAACCTGTGGAGCATGACAAAAAGCTCAAGGTGTCGACCTGGCTTCTCAATCTGTTCAAGGATTCTTGTGATGTGCCTGTACCCCAGATGTGCCCCTACTCCAAGGTGGGGCCTCTTTGGATCGGACTTGGCTCTGACCTGTCGAGGCATGGACACAGGATCTCTGGGAGTGTCCTGCGGTGTCTGGCACCAGTGCATTGGTGGCAGATCCATTAAGTCCATTGGGTTGTGGGGTAGGTTAATGGCATGTGCCACAGATGCTCATTCAGCTTGGGATCTGGGGAATTTGGAGGCCAGGTTGACGCTTTGAGGTCTTTAGCCCCTTTTCCACATTTCCAGGAACTTTCATTTCCAGGAATTCATTTACCTGGGTAATCAGGCTGAAGACGTACACGATTCGGCGTGTGCCCTATATTTAGCTCCGCCAACTTGTTGGCTGGTAACATGGTAACATTAGTGCTGGTAGAGAGTACCCATCCTTAATCAAAACACAAACGAAGTGAAGCTTGTAGAAATGAAAGAAAGTTTGCAGCCACACTGGCACGGAAGTGGGGGGCGCTGCAAGTGTGTGTTCCACCAATCAGCGTTCTTCAGCAAACAGCCCGCCCCTCAAGAATTCTGGGTAATCTGAAAAGTCCTACCCCCCTGCTAGGTACTTTTCAGGGAAAGTTTGGGGTTGAGGGAAAGTCCCCCCCCCCCCCCCCCCCCCCCCCCCCCCCCCCCCGGGGTTTTTTTGGGGGGGGGGTGGGGGGGGGGGGGAACCCCCCCCCCCCCCCCCCCCCGGGTAATTTCGGTGGTAACATGCCGAGGTTTTTCAAAATCCTGGGGATGGTCTTCGTCACATTCCTTGGGCCATTCCTGAGTCATGTTTGCAGAGTGGCATGGTGCATTATCCTGCTGGGGGGCCACTGCCATTGGGGAGTACTGTTGCCATGAGGGGAGTACTTGGTCTGCAACGGTGTTTGAGTGGGTGGAACATGTCAGGTGGTATCCACATGAATGCCAGAACCAAAGCTTTCCCAGCAGAACAATGTATTGGAACAAAATAATCGAAGTTATTCACTTCACCTGTCACTGGTTTTAATGTTTTTGCTGATCAGTGTATATGTAATGGAGAGAACTTTAACTTTGTGTGCACATTGATTGTGATGTTACGATTTTAGGCTCAGTCTAAGACACTGTCCCATAATATTATATTTTCTCTTTAATCTTATACAACTGCACATCTTTTGTTATCAAATCAATAAGTAGCCCAGCATTAATATTTCTTCAACTCACCTTGGCCAAAAACCGTTCCTTTCAATCCACAGACTCTCCAGTCAAAGTTGGCAGTGCAGATGGCCTCTACGTATTTAGAGTCAGTGCCGTGAAAAAGCTTTTTTTCCGCCACAAAGTGCTGATTGTTGTTGTTCTTCATCTGAGTTTTCTGCCTTTATTTAGGAAAAATACATCAGAAAATGTAAATTAAGCTCCTTCAAACAACCTTGTTTATTCAAGTTTCTTACCAAAAACAAGATACCCGATTACATTTGAACACCCCATGATAATGTTAAAATGTTCCTTTGCCCAATACTCATTTTTACTGAACAGAGCTTGAAAGCATCATAATGTAATTCAAAGCAACCTCTGACAGTGGTTAGTTCCATCAATTTGTTCTGACAGAAACCCTGGAACTGACTCAGTAATGTCAGTAACAAGCATTATCTTTCTAAACAACACTAACATTAGCCACCAGAAGCTACTTGCTACAACAGCATAACTTGTCAACTGAGTCACAGTGCATTCTGATGCTTACATGTTTTTTTTTGTATGAAGGAGAATGAGTTATTCCTTCTTTAAAAAGTTACACAGTCCTGCTTTAACAGTCAGAGAGCAGTGGTTATCTGAACAGATACAATGCTGACCTAGCTAGAAAGATATTTAATGGACAACCACTCAGATGAATAATAGGTTTCCAGAAAATCACATACTGTACGTACCACTGAAAGACTTCCCAAAGAGCTTTGTTCTGAATCCTTTCGATTTTGATGATGTCAAAGCCTCTCATAGTTTTACAGAAAAGTGTTTCGATTTCCTTAAATTCACCAGAGGACCTCTGGAGGGCGACGAGCTGGGAAACATACAAAGAGAACACGTCAATATTAATACAGATTCTGCATGTTTGCACTTCTTATTTCTATGTTAAAGTAATAATGTTGAAGATTTTCATTTAAATAAATGTCTGTTGAGTCACTATTGCTGAATGATGATCAAGCCTTTAGCGTTTCCCAGGTCCTATGTTCTCCCATAATATAGGACCCGGGGAACATAGGGATGACCTCCCTTTAGCCCACTGACGGACTTCTTCATTAAAATGATTTGTTGTGCTGCCCCCAGAGCTCTGTGACCAGGGGTCTCATTCATAAACACTACGTACGCACAAAACAAGGCCTGAAAGAAACTTACGTCACTTCCCACGCAAAAGTTGTGATCTATAAAAACATACTTCATGGGAGAAACTTTGACCCATGCTTGTGGACATTTTGGAATTGGGAAATTGGCGATGCAGATGGTGAGGTGGAAGCCTGATTGTAGAAACTGTTGAATATTTTTTAGCACACACCATTTTTGGCTTTTGTTTGTACGAATATTTTAAATATGGATTGTTTTATAAATGAGGCCCCTAGAATATTAAACCACACTTGCTTTTACAACCAGTAACTCCTGGTGTCGCCAATCAACGCGGACTGAAATCTTTGCGATTGCTATTTTCATGTAAACTTCAGATTTCCAGATTGCTGCAAAAAACACTGCATTGAAAGTTGCACCCAGAAGATAAGCAATAAGCAAATGGAGACATCATGAAAACTATAGCCCTGTTTCCACTGAGCAGTACCATTAAGTTCAGTTCAGTATGCTTTTTTCCTGTTTCCACTGTGAACAGTTGTGGATGGTACCAATGAAACCATTCTGTACCGTCCCCATTTTTGGTCCCCCCTCTGTTGGGGTACCTAGCACACAGATCTGGTGCTAAAAGGTGGAGCTGTGAACACTGCAGTCTGTTGATTGGTCAATAGAGGACGGTCACTCTGCTCAGGGCTGAGTTGTGGCTGGTTTTGAGGCTCATGTAACTACTGTTCATACCACGGAGAGATTTATTAGTAGACAGCAACTATGAAGGATGTTTTCGTCCGCTTGCAGCAGCTGTAGACCGAGAAATAATGACTTAACTCAATGGGCCGACTGCCGGCAACTTTTAAGGTGGAACGTTAACTTGTAATGCTACTCAATGCATGGGGTGACGACGTGAATCCATCAGCACACCTTAAATTTCACTGTGACAACTTTGACCATTACCTTAGTCTTTATATGACATACACCTTTAGCAATGAGTGGATCTTCAACCGTTTATGTGTATTAATTTAACATCATATACTCTAATCCTCACTCAGAGAGAAAAAAAGCGTTGTGGAGTGTTGTTCCTGTGGGCTATGGCAACACTAAACCCCTGAGCTTGCCTGAGAAGGACTCAATGCACAAACAACCAGCTATTTTTAAATATCCCATGGAGAGAGACTCTCACTGCAGCCTGTTTTATTTTGTTCTGGAAATGTTGGCATGCAGCCTCGTTCTGTGGACGATAAACGAGGTGCAGACTTCCATCTGTGTCACTGCTAATGAGGAAATACAGTGAGTGCTGGATGGAGCAGTGAGTGACAACAACCCGACCACATGAAAGAGTACTGTTTGCAGTGGAAACCCTAGGGTCTAGGTACCATGTCTGACGGGTTACTTTTGGTTCCAAAGGTATCATACCGAAAGTGTTTGGTGGAAACGGGGCTTATGATGAGGATTTCTATCAGTTACACCATGTAGTGTTTTATACTACAAATTTACTTGTTTTTCCAAAACATTTAATAGTATGTACATTCACATAACTTTTAAGCCCGGGCTTAAATTACGACTTCTAAGTTATGTTATTGTGCAGTTTCAATGTGTGGTGCATTCACAATACCCCGTATCCTGTTTGAGGAATCTGTGTCTTGTCCCAGTGGTCGGGTATGGGGGTGAAATTCTGTTGTCCAACAGTCCTTCTGGTGTCAGAAAGCAAAGTAGGATTAGTTTAGTTGTGAGGTTGTTTGCATAAAATGTTTCGTAAGACATAAAACATGCGTGGGACCCACATAGTATATTTGAGACGTCATACCTGACTTTCTTTGTTCTGACATCAGCCGCAGATACAAACTGGGGTCGCCTTCTCACAAGCCTCTTAGTGCCATAATGCTTGTTTGTTTGTATCATGTCTGAGGAGCAGGGGAAAAAAAGATTATAATACCCCCTGAATAATTTAAAATGCACAAAACTGTAAACACAGAGATCCATTGCGTAATATTTGTTTACCCTGGAAACTGAGTGAGTATGACTGTGAACCGACAGTGAACTCCACCACATCTTTGTCATCGTCCAGATACTTCTGCTCCAGGTTCGAACTGTCCATGTTCGCCGCTTTGTGTCCACCAGCCTGCAACACAAGACAGAGACGTCTGGTTTTACCTCAGAACATAACTGGAACAGTAGATGACCAGTTGGTATGCAAAAAGATTATAACCAACGTCCTCTTGGCCTCCAATTTTCCCAGATCCCAATCTGATAGAGCGTCAGCGGGACGTGCTGGTACCCCACCTCACAACCCACAGGATTCAAAGGATCCACTGCCAACACCCTGGTGCCAGACACCACAGGACACCCTAGAAGTCCTGTGTCCATACCTCGACATATCAGAGCCAAGTCTGATCCAAGGAGGCCGCACCGTGGATCAGGGGTATGTCTGGGGTACTGGCATGTCCCACAGATGCTTTATCTGATTGGGATATGGCTCATTTAGAGGCCAGCTTGACGCCTTGAGCTGTTTGTCACGTTTCTTGGGACATTCCTGAGCAGTTTTTATGCTGTTAACACGCTGCTCTATAAAAGGTGCGTACACACCAAACCGACAACAAAGAACTAGCGGCGACGAAAGCCAACTGTTGCGTCACCTACGTCGCCTCACGTCGCCCTGCGTCAGTTGCATTTGAACACACTACACGGACAAAATCTGACGGCCAAGTAGCACATACGTTCTGCGTCTACGTGAGATAGAGTGGACCGGACAGTCCCAGTGTTTCCTCCACAGGCTCCACTTAACTCAGCTGCCCGATAAACCCACTGCTTCTTCCCACTTTAACCTGAATAACAAACCAGGGCTTGGTGCTCCGGTTGGATCCAAACAGAGAGCCGGGGCTAGCTCAGAGACTAGCGGAGGCTAACTGGCTGTGCTTCCCTCCAGTCATGCTGCGGCTGATGCTCCGCTAGCCGCTCCCAGCTAGCTCCGGATTGTTATTCAGGTTAAAGTGGGAGAGGCAGCAGATCTGTCGGGCAGCTGAGTGAAGTGGAGTTAGCCACCGGTTTCACTACAGGCAGATTCACTCGCTACAGGGGCAAGGAAATAAAACCTGAACAGCCAATCAGAGTGATCTCTCTCACCGACAAACTCCGCCACCTATTCAACATGCTCAACTGGCTGAAAAGCTGCCGACGCCGAAGTGCCGACAGTGCGGGATACACCGCAAAAACTACGGCGACAGATGCTCACCGACGGCCCAACTTTAGTCGACGGCCGACCGTCAGCTTGGTGTGTCAGGGCCTTAAGTTTAAAATCAGTAACTTCATGTCATGTGCTTTCTGGAAGTGTAAACCTCGAGGAGAAAAGACAAACTATTAAGACAGGCTCAGCTTAGGAGGGTAGGAGAATTGACCAGCTTCATGTGAGTGAGCTCCAGTTAGCGCCTTTAAATTTTTATTTCTTAATAATTCAGCTGTCCAATGTGAGCATGACAAACTTAAATTTATGCAATCTGGCTGCAATCTCCACTGCTGCTCATCTCTTTCCTCAGGGATGGTGCCACACAGCCACAGAGCTGTGGAAGCATCTCTGCCTCCTATGATTTTGTGTGTGTGTGTGTGTGTGTGTGGATATGGAGCTATAGCAAATAAGATTAAAACTTAAACGATGTGCATGGGTAGCAGCTTAAGCTATAGAATACAGCAGGGGATGTCTACTGTAAACAAAAACAGATGAAACAAAGTGTTGCAGGGTTATGTAAACACGTGTAGTCGTCAGTTCAGCGCCGGTTTAGTAGACCATGAGTGGGATGGATGAAGTGGGAAGTTCAGTCCTGGTGGGATTGGAGTTTTTAAATTTCTGTCCCTTTAAATGGCTGAATCTGAGACTGCTTCACTGTGCCCTTTCCGAGACAACTGTCAGAGTCCACATGGACAACATCCAGCGTAGCTCAGATAGCCGACGACTGCATTAGAGGGCTAATATCACATTATCAGAGCAAAGCTTGGACACCTCTTTCTCATCATGTGCAAACATTTCTGGAGTGAGTCTGGAGTGAGTTTGGAGTGCTTTTGCTGCGGCGAGACACTCCAGCAGTGTGCAGGGGTTGTGGTACGCCTGCAAAATGTCACTGAAATTGAAGTAAAGTGGCCATTTTTAGCCCAAATCAGCTCCACTAGCTTCGCTTGCCGAGGCATGTTGTCAGTGTGCATATCTTCAATTAAACTGCTGGCTGCTGCTATTATTTCATGCTGCTCCACTGTTTGCTAACTCGCACTGTTATCTATGTGGAGCTGTTTGCAAGGCCTTTATGACGTGGCGTTATTGGAGTGTCCTGGACCAGAGAATAATGACTTCAACCTTTGATCAGCCTTATAATGGTCAGATAATATATTCCACCACTGGCTGCTTAATAATGTTGTAGATCAGGGAGTGTGGGACATCCCCATTTCAGAGTACTTCCCATATAGCATTACATAACCATTACATAGTCTCGATAAAAATACTGATGAGAGCAGCTTTTAAAGAATGTCTGCATTATCACCACTGAAACAAACTAAAAATAACTCCAGTTACTCACAGCTGAAGCGTACATGGTCCAGTTCCCAAACTCATCCTCCCAGTACCACACCCACTCAGTGGTGTGGATGAAAGTTGGCTCCAACAAAGAGTTTGTGGTAGAGAGTCGTCGCACTTTGTCCGATCCCCGGGTCATCGTGTCAAAACACACAGGTGGGCTGCTGCTGCTAAAGACAGAAAACCAGATGACTGTTAATTCATACCATTCAATTCATTTGATGAGCAGTGTTTACATTATGTTTATTGTTTACTGTGCTGTATCACAAATTGCCCCTTTGGGACATTTTCTAAGTCTAATGCGGGATTTATATTTCTGCATTGACTTAGTGTACGGCGTATGCTCTACATCGATGCAGAGCCATGCCATACCCTACGCCTTAGCCTGATATGCACCTCCCCAGAAATGAAACTACTTGTTGTGGCGACTCAGATCTCCTGTCTGTTTCTGTAAGCTGAAACCATTTCCCTCAGTGGAAACGAAGCTGTTATTTACATTAATATCAAAGATAAGAAACAATAAATTGTGAAGACAAGAAACCTCCCACAAAATAGCATTTTAAGTCTTGTGTGTGATTTATCCTGGCTTCATATGAGCAGAGGAAATCTCTGCTTGTCGCTAGACTAATGTATACAATGTAAAATGCCATAGACTGGCGCTAATAACGTTAGCATGATGTATTTGCTTGGAAAACGTGTTTACCTTTGTACGGGTAGAGGAAAACTCAGCTCGTCGCTAGGCTAAAATGCCATAGGCTTGTGCTAATAACGTTAGCATGTCGTATTTGCTTGGAAAACGTGTTTAATATAAGACAGTTGTTTTGTTTGTTGGTGAACCTTGTGAGTTGTAACGTTACCTTTGTAAAATATTGCTGTTGTGACTGGCTTCATATGAGTAGAGGAAAAGTCAGTTAGCCGCTTATTCAATGTAAAATGCCACAGGCTTGTGCTACAAACATTAGCCTGTTGTATCAGTGGGGAAAACATGTCAAGCAAAGACAAGTTAATGAGCTAAAATTAGTGTGTTAACTCAGGTATTGTGCTCCATGACTGCCAGTCAAAGCTGGAATTGATACAGTCCCATGACTAATGCTGAGTCATTTGACCTGGGTGCGAATGCCAATTATAACCTTTCCCATTACATTAAAAAGTCAGATGTTTGTCTGGGGTTTTTTGTGCAGTGGAAAATAGGCTTTACACTGCTACAGGTAGCTACATGCTTACGTCAGGGGAACATTTCATCTTGGTTGCTGATGTTGTTAATTTCTACATGATTACAGATCGTATTTCTGCTGGAACATGTCCGGACATGTACAGAAGCTTTTATTGGTGATTTTTAAAGGCAGAAATTGCTGCTATTCTTCGCTACACTATTTCTGGTTGCAATGACAGAAAAGGCAAGATATAGAAAAGTGGAAATGTTGACTATCCAATTGACCAATTTTCAGCAGGGGAACTTAAAGAGACAGTCGCTAGACAGAACATTTCACACAGAGGGTGAATGTGCAACAGTAAAAGAGTATCATTTGGCCATTAAAGCATGTAAACAAGTTCTAGTAGGAACCAAAAATACAAGTATGTACCTGACAATGAGTATAAAAGGTCTTCTTTATGAATAACATCCCACTAAATGTCAGCAGAGAGTACCTGTATGTGTTTTTAGGGTCACAGTAGTCCTTCTCAATCGTCTCATTAGCGGGCAAGGCAATCCAATGATCGTTCTCCCAGACCTGCCATCTGTACGGCAACTTGTCATGAGCTTTAAAACATCGGTCTGAGAACACATCGACCATAAAAACAAAATTAAAGATGATTAATATGACAATTGTACTTAGGTACACAAAATAAATGTAGTGGTCAGCATGATGATCTGTGATGTGTTCATGATTACTCACCCTCATGTTTACAGTGTCCTTTGATGAAGTACATGCATATCTCAGTTTTATCTAAAGGAAACAAACAAAAAGTAAAGCCTAAAGTGTTTTTTTAAACATGTCACAGTTCTTTTAGACAACTTTTGCAGTTGGTGTAGTTTACCTCTGACAGGCCTTTGCCTTGGTCCTCTGTTCGGTCCATCATCACCGTCTGCATCGTCGTTGACAGCACCAGGGATATCATTAGTTGAGCGGGTTTGTTTCAGGTCTTGATGGTTGCCCTTGTTTCCTCTGTTGCCCCTGTTGCCGCCTCTGCCTCTGACAGCTGTTGAATTTTTAGTTTGCTCTCTGTTGTGACCGCTGTCGCTGCTCGCATCAGTGTCGTTGGCAGCAACAGAGATATCACTGGTGGAAGAGTTCATTTGCTTTTCTTCGGTCGTTCCATCTACGCTGCCCCAATCCATGTCATCATTGTCATCAAAGATGTCACTCGTAGAGTTGGTTCGTTGCAGGTCTTCATGGTTGCCCTGGTTTCCTCTGTTGCCCCTGTTGCCTCTGTTGCCCCTGTTGCCCCTATTGCCTCTGTTGCCTCGGTTACCACCTCTCCCTCTCCCTCTGTGCCAACTCCTTTGTGGTAAATGCTGACCATCCTCCCTGCCGGCGGAAGCAGAGTATTCACCGGTGGAAGAGTTTGGTTGACGGTTGCCCCTGTCGCCCTTTCTGTCATTGTACTTCAAAGCCATTTGGTTTGCATAAACAGTCTTCAAAGAGTTGAAGATCTCGTCAGGCACGCCTCTTTTCTGCAGGTTCTTGTATGGCTGTAGAGCAGTAAATTCATGAGTCTTGGAGCAGCTGCAGTCGCGGTTCAGGAACTTGTCACAGATATGCAGCCTGTGGCAATCAAAACCTTCCTTACACAGGCCAGACTCCCCACCACCATTGTTGTAATCGTAACATATCTGGTACAGGGAGGAAAGGTGGTTACAGTCAAGCAAAGCAAAAAGTAAGGAAAGTGTCTGGAAAACAACAAACAGGAAATGCTGTTGTGATATTAACAACATTACATTTTTCCATAAACAACTCCTTTAAGATGATAAATACAGATACTGTCCAACTAAATCTGAGTGTGGATGAAGTCAGCGAAACTTTAGGACCTTTAAAGCACCGGTTCCCAACCTGGGGTCCCGACCCCGTTAGGGGTCACCAATGCTTTACAGGGGGTTACAAGGCCTTTTTGATTTTAAGAGGTGTAAGAAAACTTTATTTTTTTCCCCCCAACAATCTGATTTGAGAAACTTCAGTGGATGAATCATCTGTATGAAGTCAAACTTACATCAGGCAGCAGCGACCTGTCGCTCTGCAGCAGCAGTGTGGAAAGCTCTGCCATGCTCAGACTGTCCAGCCCATGAGCTCTCAGCAACCCCGCATTATGTTCAGAGTGCAGCGTATGGGAGAATCTGCATCCTCTCCTGTCACCAAAGAACACAACGTGTATAATTCAGTCATGTGTTGGATTTTTTTCAAATATACAATTGCTTGATAAAAGAATAAATTACTGCGTGACATTTTGTAACTACAATACATTTAATTTAGCTAAAAGTACATCTTACTGGATGTTTATGAAAGTCTATTATATATCCTCTTGAGACCTGAACTTTTGTTTGGTATGCATTTTTAATTTCTCCTAGATATTTGGGATCAGTTGGACCCAATAAATATAAATAAAAAAAACTCAACATTGTCAACGATAATAAAGTCCCAATGTCCTCAAACGAGACGATAATAATGTCCCAATGTCTTCAAACAATTACTTTATAAATAACAGCGTGTTAGCTTGTTACTGTTGATAAAATTGGTCAAATGTGTTGCCATATCAAACGACATACATTATTAACCATAAAATGTGATCAGGTTTTGGACCTTGTCCACTTCTGTGTCGGGATCGGCTGCAGACTGACTTGGCAGAGATGGCTGCCATATTGTTTGTACATGGATTAGTGTACTGTGGTCTCACTACCACTAGATGGCATAAAAAAGTGTCCACGAACAAGGACAACAGGTCTGAGTTAAGTAGAATGACGTATAAGGTCAAGTAAACCCAAATTCTGATGTCCATGTATGACGACATGGGGTCTCAGGAGGATATAATAACCTATATGTGTTGGTCCCTCAACACTTGGGACTCTGGGCCTGTGCCCTGTGGGCCTGTTCAATAATCCATCCATGGGTACTGAATATGTTTAAGTGTCTTACTCTTGACTGATACCAATCCAATCTAAAGTAACATGTTCACAAGGCTAATGGTCACCATTGCACCAGAGTGTTGAAACACGGCTAGCAAGATACAACTACTGTAATTAAGTTCATATGAAATTTACATTATATGTACAGTATGTGACAAATGTAGTCAAGGAATTGCTTCTTTGCTTTCTTGCTGACAGTTATGAAAATAATATTGATACCACTCTTGTTTGTATGGTAAATATGTAGCTAAAACCAGTAGCCAGTTAGCTTAGCTTACTAGCATGAGGACTTACAACTAAAACCCCCCAAAACCAAACCATAAAATCTGTATGTCCTGGAAAACTACAGAGAAATACAGCTTTATAGCCTTAACCTTTGCGTGATGTGCTGTTCTAGCCACAGTGTTCTCATTAAGCAAGTGTGAAGTGTTTTCATTAAGCGAGTAAGTTAGGAGAGGCTGTCTTGAAGCCTATCAGCAAGGACAGTTCTTTGTGTTTCAAAGATGCAGCTGCAGACTGTCTGTATAAATAGATACTAAGAGAAGAAGAAGTAGCTCACTGAGCCTGAAACTCTGGGGAAAGTTTATTGTGCCCGCTTGCAAATGTGATGATAAAACTCAGAAAGACAGTCTTTGTTTGTGAGCTCTTTATCACAGAGATTTCCACCACAGTTAACAATTTGTTTTTACTTTAATATAATAAATATAATTTTATCACAGTGTAGATATAACTTTATTATTGTGCTTTTGAGGTGCTGGAAAGGCGCTATTGCCTTTGGACAGAGTCAAGCTCACTGTTTGCTTCTGTTTCCAGTGAGACAAACTTCTACCATGTGATGTTTGTTGCTTTTATATTGTTTTATTATTATATATATTTTAATTTAATTTGTTTTGTTAAATTATTTTATTTTATCTTATGTGTGTATGTCTTATCTTATTCTTTTTTATTTATTTATTTTAACAGAAGTGTGTATGTGCATATGTGTAACTGTAAAGTGAAGACATTGGAAAGATGTGACATGTGAACACATAAATAATGTAATATATTTTAGCTTTTGATTACTTTTTTGTAAGATTGACATTAATTTCTTCAAAATAAAAATGAGACTGACATTCATAGAAATAAAATAAAATAAAACAAAACAAAATTAAATTAAATAAAACATAACAAAATATAATTGAATAAAACAAAATATAACAAAATTAAATACAACAAACCAAACTTAAACAAAATAATAATAATAATAATAATAATAATAAAAGCAATACTACTATGTTTAGTAATATTACAATAAAAATAACATATTATTGAAAAAAATAAAATAAATAATAATACAATATATGTATAGTAATATTACTACAACAGTAAGATATAATTGGAAAAATAAAATAATGAAATAAAACAATGAAATAGAAGAAAATAAACCAAGAATAAAAAAAACAAAATAAAATCAAATAAAACCAAACATAAAATATTATAAAAAAAATAAATAAAATACCACAAAATGAAATGAAACAAAACAAACTAAACTTAACTAAAATAATAACACTAATAAAAGCAATACTACTACTACATATGATAATATTACAATAAAAATAACATTAAAAAATAATAAAAAAAATAATAAAAAAAATAAAATAAAAAAATGATACTATGTATAGTAATATTGCAACAACAATGAGAAAATATTATTGGAAAAACAAAAGTAAATTAACATAAAATAAAACAGTTTGTTTTTAATATCAGAGTCGTTAGCGCATGTGTCCTTGCACGCCAAGCGTCCGTGAACGCATCACGTGTGTCAAGGCCTGTAGAACAGGGCTTTAAATGCAACCAACCGCGTCATACTTGACTACAACGCCTAAACAAACCCGTGACAGCGTCTTTTTAAAAACTCAGTCGCTTTAATTACACACCAATGATATTATTACTCTGGACTTTAACATTAAGTGTTACTTTTAAAACAGCTGAGATATCTCTGAGCACGTCACGGGTCTATCTGGTCTGCACCCATATGACTCACCTAAGGCCTCATACTTTGAACAAACATACTTACTTACCTGGTCTGAATGAAGGGGCAGGAGCCGGTCATCAGGTACTTTTTGCACAGGTGTAGCCCACTGCAGCCTCCAACACACTCCATTGCTCTGCACAGCTTCAGGCTGGTCCTGGCCACCACCTTCGGCTGCCCGTAAGGACAACACAGAGCAAATTTCTCCTGGTTATTGATGATCTCATTCGTTGAGTCGCCCGAGCCGAGGTTAAACATCAGAAAATCTGTGTTAACTGCTCCTTGATTGGCGCAGATAAACTTCAGTATTTCTGACTCCATGGTTTTAACGCTTCCGTGTTTGCCTCCACCTGCACACAAAACAACACGGCGACTGCTGAGTGTCTGCTAGCTTCACTGAAGTAGCAAAGTCCAGGATCATTTCTGATGATTGGAAACCGAAACCTAACTATTTTTAGCAGGAATAAAAACTGTAACGCTGCTCTCGACCGCTTGGGGGCGTCGCTGTGCTGTGTGACCTCATGCAGCCCTGTATTAATAGGAGGACAGAGGAGAGACATCTATGTTTTCATTACTCTTTTTTTGGGTAAGATCAACATACATTTCTTCAAAATAAAAAAGACTGAAATTACACATTACACTACACTATAAAACAAAATTGAAATAAAATAGAATAGTACAAAATGAAGTAAAAAAAAAACAATATAAAATGCAATGAAAACAAAATAAACTAAAACAAAAAGAAAAAAGACAAACATAAAATTAAATAAAATAATATAAGTAAATAAAATAAAACGAAAAATAAAATAAAATAAGCCAAAATAACATACAATGAAATAAAACAATACAATATAAAATGAAACAAAACAAAATAGAACAAAATGAAATAAAACAAAACAATATAAAATGGCATAAAATAAAATGAAACAAAACAAAATAAATTAAAACAAAAAGAAAAAAGACAAACATAAAATAATATAACACAAAATAATATAAATTAATAAAACAAAACAAAAAAATAAAATAAACCAAAATAAAATAAAATGAAATAAAACAATATAATATAAAATGAAACAGAACAAAATAAAACAAAATAAAATAACAATACAAAAACAATAAAATATAAAATATAAAACAAAACAAAATAAACTAAAACTAAATAAAATAAAATAAATAAATAAAATAAAACAAAAAATAAAATAAAATAAAATAAACCAAAATAAAATAAAATGAAACAAAACGATATAAAATAAAATAAAACAAAACAAAATAAACTAAAAGAAAAAGAAAAAAAAGACATAAACAGAATAATATAAAACAAAATAATATAGATTAATAAAACAAAACAAAAAAATAAAATAAACCAAAATAAAATAAAATGAAATAAAACAATATAATTTTATAAAATGAAACAAAACAAAATAAAACAAAAACAAAATAAAATATAATAAAATCAAATGAAAAACAAAATCAAATAAAATAATACAAAAACAATACAACATAAAATAAAACAAAACTAAATAAAATGAAATAAAAAAATAAAATGTAATGAAATGGAATAAAACAAAACAAACTAAAATTAAATAAAGTAAAATAAAATAAAACTGGCAATACACTGAAAAAATGGTGTCATATTCATTTACTGAATTATCTTACTGACACATTGTGCCACTGAGGAGAGAGAGTAGATTAGCCTTGCTGAAGTTGATGCAGTAGTTTAAAAAGCACTTTTCAAAGCAGAGTTACAAAGTGCTTTACATGTCAGTAATTTAAACAGACGAGACATGAAAACAACAACTTTTAGGTAAGGTTAAGTTAGGTTTTGGTATATCAAACCTAAGGACATAAAAGACTAAATGAACTTCAGACTCAAGGCTCTCTGAAAAATATGTTTTAAGAAGGGACTTAAAAGACATCACTGACTAGGCTGACCTGATGTCCTCGGGCAGATTGTTCCAGAGCCTCTGGGCCCTGACAGCAAACGCTCTGTCCTGTTTAGTTTTCATCTGGACCCCTGGAACGGACAAAAGACCTCTGCCCAATATAGCTGGGAGAGAGACCATGAAGAGCCTTAAGGTAATCAGTAAAATCTTAAAATCTATTCTAAAAGACACTGGGAGCCTGTGTAAAGAAGCGAAACCATAGACTGTATAAGGGCTAAACTGGAGTGATGTGTTCACGTCTCTTGGTTCTGGGTTCAAGTGTCTTTACACTGTAAGTGTTTTCACAGTAGGTGTGTAAAATTACAGTTACAGTACAGCAACTTTTTAAAAATCCTATTACTGTAATCCAGTTAATGTCATCTGTCAGTGCCACCACCTATAAAACATGCGCAACATGACTCCACTGTGGTTCCTTGAAATTTAAAACACTGTAATTCTCTCGTACTGTCTGCCATAACGTACCTGTATCCTAATGCTCCGTTTTATTTCCTATCTCTTCAAGCCCCCATCTCAAAAAAGCAAAATCTACTCTGATCAGTCGAGTCTTCTGCACCATCACTGCAGCGGAGGCTGTAACACAGTAGTGACACTCTCTACCCTGAAAAATCACAGACAAAAGCTTTTAAACCCAAATCATGTTTGCTTGGTGTTAGCATGTAGCTACATGTAGCAGTGTATGTAATCTGAACCAGTTCCCAGCTGGTGGGTCACCGTAAGTGACTCGTGAATGTGCCAACTTTGTAAAAGACACACTTTATTTTAAAGTAAAGTGAATATCTGGCACAGAGCTTTTATTTTGAAGAGCTATTTCCTGTTGTAAAGAGACAGACAGCTACTGTACAGAGACAGCAAACTAGCTTGAAGACACGGCCAAACACAAGTATGACACTGTATGTATTAAACTGTGTGGACCTTGAACTAATGACTACTGACAAATCTGGACCCTGTGGCTGGACCAGTTGGGAACCACTGTAATAATGTATACCATTGCAAAGGCCATAAATCAATTTAATGTTTTAATTTTGTCCTAAATTTAGATAAACTTCTGTGGATTTGTTTTTGCAAATTTAATTTTTCATGATAACATCCACTGTCATTAAACATAAAGAATTAAGTAAATGAAATAACATAAAACATGCAAGTCCAATTATTTACCATGTCTGTCTGCAGCATCATGAGATGAGCGTTCATCATCCCTCTGCTTGCAGCGCATTTCCCATCAGCCTCGTTGCTTCCTGTCCCCCTCCCTCTCCCTCAAGTGAATATAAAGTACATGTTGGAAGTGATTTTTCCATGATCTTTTACACCATCTGCTGCCACCCGAAACTCAAGCTTTAAATTTCATCCCTCAGGAAGAACTAGAGCTTTCTTTCTCTGTCAAGTCTAACCTGGAGTCTCACAAAGGCTAAAAACAAATTAATGGGGCATCATTGTGTCCAGATTGGGGACCTTTTCTAGATGCTCCCATGCAGGGGATGGATCATATGTAGTCCCCAGTCCTCAACTAAGTCAAACACTTGTGGATGACTTTAGAGATTATTTTCTCTCCATCAACACCAAAACACCAAATAAGGGAATATCTGTTGTAAGAATACAGACCGTTCCTCCAGTGGAGTTTCAGAGATTTGGAGGTTCTGTGCCAAAGAGCACTGACACTGTTCTGGAGGCTCATGGTGGCCACATTACAATGACATTTCATATTGTTTTTCCCTCTAATTTGTTACTCATAATCTAGCACTGCACCATCTGTGAGGGGAAACCTGTGCCAACAAAGTTGTTTCTATGGAAATAACTTATCGTGCAGCAGTTAAATCCATTTCAAGCAGTATTATCAGCTTTTTGGCCACTTGGGGGCAGCAGAGCGAGCATAAACATCCAGCGGATACAGCACAACATTGACATTCATTCAGATATTTAAGTCTACTAAATCTGAATTTCCACATTCCACATTCCAGTGCAGATGCAGTCCCCTTTGGACTTTTACCCTTCTGAAGAACTTCACCAAACTGAAGGAGCTCAGCTGGACTGGACTTCACTCTGACGACCACTTGCACCTACTTAATTTATTTAAGGCCACTGCACACCAAGTCCACATTCATCCGAAACTTTCTGGCATCATAAACATCTTCGTAACAGGTTTGATTTTCTGCATTCTTTAGCGTGCGTCAAAAACCTTTAGAGAGTTGTTTGACCGAGAAGCAGTGATCACCTGAAAGAGAGCGGAACAGGGTGCACGATGGTAATATTCAGGTGGATGATGATGACGAGGAGGATGATGTGGACTGCACACAGACAGAGAGCGACAGTGTACAGATAGATAGAGGATGGCTCATCCCCTTGAGCCAAGGTGCCGAATGCAAGACACAAAGAGAGAGTGGCAACAGCCAGGGAGGTAACTCCAGGGGAGAGAATCAAGGGAGCAAAAATGTCTTCCCATCTTGTCTTGTATTGCGATCTTGTTTTGCACAAATAGTACAATAAAACACTTCAGAGTGTGCAAGATTTCCAGGCATAACTTTATTGCGGATGACAGATCTAAAAACACATACAAACAGGGCGCCCAATAGCTCAGTGAATGAATGAATTACAGTATTCTGTTGTGCTCATGGTTTCAGTTAAATGAACTGAATGATTGAATTGTGGAGAATGTACCCGAGCTGACGATTTGTAGCATGTCCATACTGACAAATGTTTAAACATTTATCTGTGGATGCACAATCTAAGCAGCTAATTAAGTGGGTAGCCAACAACCTGGTTTTATATATCCAAAGAACTTCTATAAAAATGAACAACTTGGCAACCAGACCGGCCGTTTTGCTAAGCCCTGCCCCTTTTTGATGGTCTGACAAGCTGTGGGCCTAGGCTTTTAATCTAAATTTCAGGGGTTTATTCCCTAAAGCAGGATTTATAGTTGTGTGGCAGACCCTACACACGTCGCCTACGCCGCTGTGAGCATTTATACTTGTGCGCTGGTGTATCTGTGTCACTCTGCAGTTACACCTCCGAAACACTAGTCGGCAGTGGAGGTTTCTGTGAAGTGTTGTAAAGATTTAAAACACACATTAAACATGGATTAATAGAGACAATTTCAAACACAAGTACACAAATCAGCTTCAAATACAACATGCTAACATTAATAGCACAAGCCTATGGCATTTTACATTGTATAAATTAGCCTAGCAGCTAGCAGACTTTTCCTCATATGAAGCCAGGATAAATCACACACAAGAATTAAAATGCTATTTTTGTGGAGGCTTTATTGTCTTCACAATTTATTGTTTCTTATCTGTCAAATTAAAGTAAATAAAAGCTTTGTTTCCACTGAGGGAAATGGTTTCAGCTTACAAAAATAGACAAGAGGTCTGCATCACCGCAGCGTTTCTGGGGAGGTGCACGTCAGGGTACGGTATAGCTACGGCGTCGATTCAAGGCAGAGGTATAAATTCTGCATTAGGGTCAATGAAGCAGAGCTGTGTTGTAGGAGCCTGGTACTAGGTTATGAATGGCCAATATGTGTCTGGGGGGCGGGGCTTAGCAAAGAGTCAATCGGGCCTAGGCTTTTAATTGAAGTTTTAAGGTAGTATTTCTTTAAATGCATTGTAGAGTTTTTGTATTAAATCTTTTGAATTAAAGTCAATGACTGACTTTAAATTTGGTAAATAAAGGCATTATTCAATATTTATTATGACCATAAATGTGTTTCATGCGTTCCTTTAAACCCACAGGCTGATTTTCCTTTATCTAAAGTTACACTGCTGCTGCTGCTTGCTTTGTAATTAAAGCATGGAGGTTTAGCTTGTTGCGTAATCGTATTTGCATGAAGCTTTGGTTAAAAAAAAAGAAAGAGGAAAAAGAAAGAAATAGAAAAGGCAGTGTGTGTCTGTGAGCCTCTGCAACTGCGACCTGCTGCGATTTCCTGCTTCGGGTTTCCCTTTAAAAGGGGGCAAGGCTCAATGCTGGGAATTCACGTCATTTCGCCGTTTTACACACATCCAGATCAATGAGACAGAGAGACAGGAGGAGGGGGGGAGAGAGAGAGACTTGCTCTTCCAGGAAGGGATTATTAACCAGCACGCTGCCGACCTATGAAGGGAAAACACACGCAGACAAAAGAAGTTTTCACACCGACAGCCGCGCTATGGAGCCGGCCAGCAGATAAAACACAGAAAGCAGGCTGAATGCAAGAAAAACAACTTCTCCCACAACAAGAAGCCGAGCAGTCGGACTGCTTTCCTGCTCCTGCTGCTGCTGTGTGTGTTTGTGTAGGGAAGGGAAGGAGATAAAGAGGAGGACACAACGGAAAAGTGGAAGGAGAAGGAGAGAAGTTGACGGGAGATAATGTCTGAATCCTCCTCCGCTGCGAACAAGGTAACACACTCCCCTTTGTTTGCCTCTCCACCTCAGCTTTTAATCCCTCATAGTGTATCCTCCGCTCTGCAGGGATTTATACCTCCTCTAAAAACAACCGTGGAGCTCGCGCGAGCCCGCAGTGGCAGCAGCGCCATTCAGTTGAGGCGCGTTTGTTTTGCTAGTCATCTGTTGCTCGCGCGGCTCCACGCTTGCAGCTCGCCTCCACTCCGCTGATGGGAACAAGTCGTGACTGTGTCTGTGTGTGACACGCTGAAAAAACACGTTGCGTTTACTGCCTCGGAAAGTGACCCCGAGCCGGTGGGCGAGCGTGGTGTTACCCACGCGTTTGCGAGCGCGAGCGGCGACGAGCGAGAAAGCGTTTAAGAGGATTCTCGTGCAGTCACAACAGAGCAGCAGGGGTCATAAAGAGGAGCTGTTAAACTCACTGTAGGATAGGCCTATTATTAACACCACACATACTGTAATGGGATAGGAGGCCTGCCATTGACGAACTCACTGTACCGCAGTGTAAGTCACCACATATAGAAATACAACTGAACAAGTGCTGAAATGAATGGCCAACTTTTGCATCACTGATTAATTGTCATTTATTGAGAAAATCCAGCTTCTCCGATGTTGCTGCAACAATTTGCTGCTATTTTTTGTTCATTATTGAAAGCTGACAAGTTGGAGTTTTGGCCAGTTGAGAATTGTACCTGGCAGTTTTTATAGGGTTGGTGGGAAAAAAATCGGTAGTATCGCGATATTTTGCGTGGCAATATTGTATCAAAAAATGGGCGCCAAGTATAGTTTTTTTTTTAAAATTATTATCTCAGCAAATTCAAAGTAAACTTAAAGTGTGTGATGTTTTTTTTGGGGTAGTTTTTTTTTCGTGCTTTGTTGTATTTGTGTAACGTCTTAGCCAAGGGACTACAGATAAAAAATAGCCTTTTGACTTATTCTCGTATTTTTATACCATGTGTATTTATTAATTTTCACTGTCCCTTCTTAAATAAACAAAACTAAACTTTTGATAGCCTACTAAAATAATAAAATAAGTTGCTTAGCAAAGTTTTCAGTCAATACTCTGGCTTCTCCAATGTGTTTGTTACTATTTTTGTGTATCATTGTTAGCTTACAAGTTTGAGCTCTGGTCAGTCGAGAATTGTACCTGGCATTATGTTTTTACAGTTTTTTTAATAGGGTCCGGGGGAAACGATACAGCATACCGAAGTGAGATGCTGATAAGTTGGAGTTTTGGCCCACAGTTTTTTTATGTGGTGGGTGAAAAAAAATGGATACAGCATAGTATCGCGATATTTGTGTGACAATATCATATCAAAACAGGGGCGCCAAGTACTGATTTTTTTTATTAGCCTATCTAAATCAAATCAAACTTTTGGTAGCCTACTAGAATAATAAAATAAGTTGCTTTTACATTTTGCTGCAACAAAAATAACTGAAGTGAGATGAACCAACTTAACTTAATTATTATAAGATGAAACAGATGTTGACAAAGTTTTCAGTTGAAAAAGGGCAATAAATCACAATATATGTTAGCACAATACTCAGCATAGTCCAGCTTCTTCAATGTGACAATTTGCTTTAGGTAGCCTTGACTACGGATAAAAAAATAGCCTTTTTGCAACTTCTGGCATTTTTATACTATGTTTTTTTTTAATGAATTTGCATTGTCCGTTCTTAAATGCACTAAACTAAACGCATGTTAGCCTACTAGAATAATAAAAGTTGCTTTTTTAGCTCCCTAGCTACATTTTGCTGCAACAAAAATAACTGAAGTGAGATGAACCAGCATCATTTGCAGTTAAAGAAGGGTAATACATCGTAATATACGTTATTGTAATACTCAGCATATCACAAAACGTTTAAAATCTCAATAATATTGTACAGGTGGGAATGCTGGGCTGCTGATCAGACTGTGTAAACAACCTGGAGACACTTTGTGCTGGCGACGTGTCATAATGTTTGACATGTTGACACTGTTCATTAATCAGTAATGAAAGTAATCTATAGTTGCAGCACTAGGAAGAGGAAGATGTGAGAGATTAGAGAGGGAATAATCATCAACACAGATTGATCTGAGTCCCAGTAGGAAATAGAGCTGAGAAATTAGCTGATTAATCAGCAGCAGTGTTCATAATCTATTGTTTTTGTCCTGAAATTAAGCAAAACAGGTAAACATACACTGGTTGTGGCTTGTTAGATGTGAGAATTTGCGAGTTACGTGTGTTTTCAATTGAATATCTTTGAGTTTTGGATTGTTAATCAGACAAAACCAGATAGATGGAGGTGTCACTTTGGGCTTTACAAACTTGTGACGGGCATTTTTTACATCTTTTTGACCTTTCGTTAGTAAAAAAAATTGTTCGCCAGGTTAATTGTCGATATAATCGTTAGTTGCAGCTCTAATAGGACCATTATAGAAATATTATTTGGAAGTCAAGGTCAGCATGCAAGCTGTTCAATAACAGCGTAATATGGTGTTATGAGGGATTCTCATTGCCGAGTCTGATGTCACTGCACGACTGCATGCTGGAGAACGATCAGCACTCCACTCTGAGAAGTTTTCCACCACAGGCACTGGTTGACAGCACTCCCCTTCACCTTTATACTGCAGCCCAGCTCTGTCATAAATGCAGCCTCTCTATCGTAAGCTGCTTTGCCCTAACTGCCCCATCCCCTTCCCCCTTAACCCGACCTTTGTCTAGACAAGTGAATTTTAAAAAAAAGTGGACAGGAGAGAGGGCTTAGTCTCTGAGAGGAGGAAATAGAAGACTGAAAGATTATTGCTTGGCTTCCACAGGAAATTCCTGGTGCATACAGTTGGTGTGCAGGTCTCAGACTGGCTGGGTGGTGACAGCTGCCTGAAACTGGAGGGAGAAGCAAAAACCCAGCTTCATTTCCTCAAGAAACTAAAGTGGCTTCATGCTCTGCCTTCATTTGCAGGAAAGGAAACCAGTCAACAGAGAATGACCACAAACTGGAAAAACTCATGCCTTAACCTAGATTCAATAAGAGCACAATAGCAGAGCGAGAGTGTCTCAAATCTCGGAGTATCCTGGAGAGGGCTGCAACTAACTGCTCTCATTGTGGGAAAATATGCAGATTATTTTTATGAGTAATTGATTATTTGTTTAGTCTTATAACAGTGGTCTAAACAAAGTGAAAGGGGCTGTTAGAATGTTCAAGAGCCCCAAGGTGACCTATTCAAATTGTTGGTTTTCTCCGACTGTCGGTCCCAAAATCTAATCTCGAATCATTTAAAACAGAAATGTGCAGCAAATGTTGGATTAGGGAAACTGAAACCTGGAAATGTTTGCCCCTTTTTTTGATAAATGACTTCAACAATTGATCAGGATTTTATGGTCTTCAAAACATCCAAATACTCACTTGAATATCCGCAGTTCAGATGAGGGTGGCTGCACATGTGGGTGCTGTCTGCTTTGTGCCTGGAGATGTAACAGGTGTTTCTGTGGCAAAGAAAGAAAATTGGGGAAAACTCAGTGATACAATTATTCCTGGCTGCTGTTACGACTGCACCTATCTGTACCGAAAAGGGCACGGCATTCGTCTTCTTTTTATAAGGACCAAAATACAGATATACAGTATATACTTATCCCCCTTAAATGAAACATATGGAAGAAACAGTTTCTAAAAAATATGTACTCTAATATTGGAATTATTCTGATAAGCCTTAAGATGAAAAGTTTTGGATGACGAGATTAAAAATGACCCATTTATTACTATTAACTTCAGATCAGACATCCAAGTGGGTCATTTCCATACACTTGTGGGTTTATTATTGGGCAGCAATACATTTTTCAATTAGAGCTGCAACAATTAATCAATTAGCAGTCAAATATGAATTATAGCGAGGTTAACTGATAATTGATTATTTAGTTTGAGTAAAAAAAAAAGTAAGAAAAAGTCAAAACTCTCTGATCCCAGCTTCATAGATGGGAATATTTTCTTGTTTCCTTACTCCTCTGTGACACTAAACTGAATATTTATTGGGGTTTTGGAGAAAGCGAGACATTTGAGGAAGTAATTTTGGGCTTTGGGAAACACTTAACGACATTTTTCACCATCTTCTGACATTTTACACACCAAATATCCAATCGATTAATCGAGAAAATAATCAACAGATTAGTTGACAATGGAAAAAAGTTAGTTTCAGCTGTAGTATCAATTAATTGTTGCGGCCACAATGCCCAAAAAATGCCCACGAGGGTGACATCTTGAATTGTCCTTTTGCTCTGTTCAACCCAAAGATCTTTAGTTTAATATAAGACTAAGTGAAGTGTCAGATTCTCATGTTTGAGAAGTTGAAACCAGCAAATGTTTGACATTTATACTTAAAAAAAAAATAACTTCACCAAATCGGGTTTCAATGTAGTTGACTGACCTCAGTAACATATCTATGTTATATATTGATACTGTGATATGAGACTAGATAATGTCTCAGATTTTGGATATTGTAATACCGAAAGTGTTGTCTTTTCCTGGTTTTAAAGGCTGCATTACAGTAAAGTCATGACATTTTTAGGGATCGACCAATATGTTTTTTTCAGAGCCGATGCCGATACCGATTATTATGAAACAGAGATACCGATAGCCGATATTTACAACCAATATATGTCTGCTGTAAAAATCATAGCTGACACAGAATTAACACTAACAAAGTTGAAGAATATGCCAGCTAAATAAAAGCAGATTTATAAAAAATAAATAAATACACAATAATCATAAATACAAAATGTAAAAGATAAAATGAAAAACAATAAATAATAATAATAAAATAAAATTTGTTTATTTTTAAGAGCCTAGAGTGGTACGTGCAGGCATTGAGAAGCATGCCAGGGGCAAAACAGTGCAGCCAAGGAAAGCAAAACTGTCTATCGGCATATCGGTGGAAAAAAATCAGCGATACCAATAACCCTAAAAATTAATAATATCGGCCCTGATAATCGGCCAGGCCAGTTATCTGTCCACCGCTAGTCATTTTTTTAATATATCAGCCTGTTGTAGCTGTTGTATTATTTGCCTTTACCCATGTCGTTATTTCCACATTACTGATGATTATTTATCAAATATCTTGTGTAAATACGTTGTGAAAGCACCAACAGTCAACTCTACAATATCATCTCAGTATTGCTTGAGTTATTGCTCAAAAATATTGTGGCATTGTATTTTCCTCATATCATCCAGCCCTAGTGGTTGGCTAATGTTCTTCTATCAAGCAGCTGTGAAATTGTTTTGACCCTAGATTGGCCAACTGATGAAATCAATAAAATTTATAATGGTACAATATTATGGTAAAACAATATGTACAGTCATAGCAAATTAATAAAATGATAATAAAAATAATGATACGATTTTAGTTCGTCAAAAACAAAACTAAAAAAAAATTGCGAGCATTTGCTGTGTGTCTTTGTCATGTCATTGTAAGGGTGACGTTAAGGGGATTTTGGACTCTTGGTCAGACAGAGCAAGCAATTTGAAGTCATCATGTCAAAGTTTGGAGAGTTGTGGGGCGTTGCAGCTAGGGCTGTTTTTGACCAATTTAAAAGATATCGATATTGTAGGGTTGAGTACTGGTGCTTTCACAAAATATTTAGACAATGATATTTTACATAAATAATCATCAGTAATGTGGATATAATGACTCAGTGGTTAGAGGCAAACGACAGAAGAGCTCGGACAGTCTAAGTTAAAAAGTTAAAAGCAGGAAAGACAGCACTTAAAATGTTATGACATCCAAATTTTAACAGAATATCTTGTCTTATATCAACATATTGCACATCCTCATTGTGTACTGCCTTGTGTGTGCTGTACCCAAATGTTTTTGCTGCAAAGGTAGTCTGTGATTGGCAGATTTATTGGTTATTATTATCATTTATTGGGCAAGAATGTCAAACATTTGCATGTCCCCCCGCTCTTAGAAACTGTGATGGAAATGTTTTACCGTTTGCAGACATTTTATAGAGCAAATGATTGATGCTAAAAATCCACCTGTGTTGTTTCTGAGCCACTAATGCATCTCGAAAATCTTTGCAAACAGAGTGTTGGTTGGTTTAAGACTTAACTGCGCCGCAAAGCAACATGTGCCAAATCATGTGTGGCATTCTGGATATGTGCATCTCCAGAATATGTGTACACGGCATGACAGTTTATTAGGCGCACCTACTCCTCTGTGTGCAGAGATGAGACCAAGGCTAGCCGATGTTGTGGGTGCACGGCGAGGTGAGGCGAGTTGGCGTGGGGCTGTTTGGGTTCAGGGCCGGTGCGTTGTGGAGCTTTGTGAGCCATGCTTTGTGTCTCTGTGTCTATTCATAGCAGGAGAGGAGCTCTTTCAGTCCTTCCGCGAACCCGCTGCCAAACTCCACTTCCTCCCCCGTCCATGCTCCCGCCGCGAGGCCAGCCAGCCGAATGGAGGACGAGCCTGCCAGGCTGCCTGCGCACCTGCGTGAGTCACACACACTCTCTCCCTCACACACACACACACACACACACACACACACAGATACACAGATACACAGATGAGCAGTGACTCCTACACGCATTGATCAGTCGGTCATTTGAATAGGACAGATTGATTTTCGTTGTGTTTTTAGCATCCTGCGCTTAAATGTTTGTTTGGTTGAAGTGGTAATCTGGGAAGTCAGGTTTTTATTCATACCATCCACCTGTCAATCGAACCATGTGGGCAGGGCTATGACAGTTTGAGCTTTTGCAAGTGGCGACATAAGAGTGTTTAGACAGCGTTTTCGGGCAACATGCACAAATTAAAATGTTGTGGAATATCACTTAAATAGCTAAAACCACATCACACCCTATTATGATGACACACACCACATTATTATCACGGCAGGAGTGCAGGCCCTGTCATGCCGGACCTCTCAGCTGGGAGGCGTTGAAGCAGATCCGGGGTCAGACACCTGAACCGTACACGCCTCCACTGGACCAGAACTGACAGACCTACTGCACTGGAACAACCAACAGTTACACAGCAGATAATGTAGAGCGGGGGACACACAGGGGCTGGGAACCATAGAAGAAGAACAGAGTGATGGGGAATAGAAAGGGCTGAAGAAGTGGACGGTTAGGGTATGAGGAAAAACCCACAGAAGTATATGACATGGATGCAGCCTGTCATAGCTGGAAAGCTAAATAGAATAAAATGATGTCTGGCCTGATGCTTAAATTAATCTATTTCTGCATGTTTTCCTCTTCAAGGATTATGTTTTCAATAAACCCATTCATTACACAAGATGTTTAGTTTACATTTTTTCTGACCATTGAATTAGACTTGTCCTTGAGCCTCCCGAAATGCATCAGCAAGGTGAATTAGTCCTTTCTTGCGACTGCACTACGAATAATTGAATGGCGGAGAAAATAAAGGCGGTTAAATGTTCACCATTATGGAACAAATTTAAATCTGAATTGCTCACCACATCTCAGATTTTGTTGGGCTGGGTGCTCGATGACGGCCACTCTGCAGCTGAAAGGCAAGTCAGCCAATCGGAGCTTTGTAGGCTGGGTTGAGTTGAGTCATCCTCTTGTGCCAGAGCCTGAAAAACAGTGGGTCTGCTCCCTTTCACTGCACCAGTGCTCGACGGCGAGGGCCGGGAAAACTGTTTAATGGAGTGTAATGTGTCGGCCAGCTGCAGCAACCATGTAATTGTCAGAGGGCAACAACAACAATGTCACCGTACAGGTCAAAAGCCATGGTAGCTTTCGTAATTGCCTGCATGGACAGAGATGTTCACAGTGTGATGTTATTTAAGCCTGAATGACACTCATCACTCTCCCTGGACTTGATTGTGTTTGTATGAGCCATGTGGTCGTGGTGGCATACACGTTACTCTTGCTGCTAATATTTAGCAGCTGATGTGGCCAACTACTAGTTAATTTTCGAAAACTTAAGATAGATATTGTTGTATAACTGACATCATAGAGCCAGTTGGCTGACATGATGACTCTTTTCTGCCTGTGCTACTGTTGCACTGAAGAGTTAACCTGTTTTCCACCATTGTTGAGCAAAAAAATTGCCAAGTCATGCCTTAAAAAGGCCAACAAATGTTGCAATGCACCAACAAAGAAGAAGACTGTTAGCGGGCAAATATGTAAACAGTGCAGAAGCTGAAGTAGTTAAAAAACTGCTTTGTGAATGTTTCATGAGGAAGTAAATGCATTCAGCATTTCTGTCACCTCAAGGATGAAACACTGTTTTTGTGAGTAACACTGATGAAACATAACTTTTGTTAAACATGCTCAACAGCCTTAATGTTAGGCATGCTTGATTTGTATGTTCAAACACTGACAGCTTAAACTGATATGAACAGCATGATGAGCTAAAGCTGGACTTGCTGGAATCAGACTTATTTTTTAAGACACCAGTACACAAGCTCATTGAAAGTCATGTTTTTTTTTTCCAGTTGCTTAGAAGCACTGATTGTCTATCAATTATCCACAAGGTGTAATCCTGGAGTGGATTGATGTGTTCGGTCATGTATGTGTGTCAGTGTGTGTATCTGCCTGTCCGCAGCTAATCTTGCAAACTACTGGACCAGTCAGCCTAATATTGCGTGCACATTTATGTTGGGCTGACCCAGATGCTTCAAAGCTTGGATTGTTGCAGTCTAAGTGTTTTTAGTTATTCTCAGACAAAGACACATAAACTTAGTGATAGTTTTGTAACTCTGAGGTCCCGTTTATACGACAACAATTTCAACTGAAAACGGTACTTCAGTTGTGTGTTGGCCAATGGTCAACACAACAGAAGCGTTTTGGGTGCCTGAAAATGCATCGTTTTGAAAACGGGTTCCAGAGTGCAATTTTTTGGAAATGGCACCATCTCCGTTGTCATGTAAACTTGCAATATGCAGTTCCTCTGAAAACGGAAACTTTTCGCACATGCGCATTACGCTTCCAGTCAGTAGGCATGCGCAAGAAAGTCGACCATCACAACAACAATGGCGGACTCCCGAGCTCTGCTTGTGCTGCTCACCCTTTTGAATTTATCAACGTGTCATCATAATGTAGATTTACTGTAGCAACTCCACCTCGTCGTCCATCCTGACAAACGTTCATGCAGTTGCCATTTTGTTTGTTTATGCATCGCCGCTCTGTAGAAGGAAGCGTAAGTGTCACACCGCCAACTACTGGCCTGGCATGTATACTACAGCGCTTTTGGTCATTTTTGCGCATCCGTGTGCACGGCGATTGTTATCAAAACATTGTCGTCTAAACGTGGAACTTTTTCCAAAACGAAATGAAAAACAATTCTGTTTTCAGTGGATCATTTTCGTGTAAACATGACCTGACTCACTCTCATCTCGCAGTCCAGCACAACTGAAACTGGAACAGTTTGACCACCAGGCACACAGATACGCTCACAAGATATCAAGAAAGTCGAGCGTCTGGAATAGTTTTGAATTTTGCAAAGGTGACCCCCAAAAGTCAAGTGCCAGATATGCCAAAGGAAACTGGTATGCCACTAATCTACAACAAGCTAACCTCAAAACTAGAACAAGTTTGACGCGTTGTAAAGTGTTCTTTTGCCCAGCTATTGTGGCTAAAGGCCTGAACATACTCGGGCGGAACATACGTGGAACGGACTCCGCGGAGGTCCGCGCGGAATCAAAGCGGACGTCCGCATGGCCTGTGCACGCAAAGCTCAGATTTTACGACCGCGCGGACTCCGCTCCGCGCACCAGTGACTGCTCGGCATGTATTTTTCACATCGCAGGGATTTTTCACGGACATTTTTACAGGAAACTACAACGCGGAAGTGCGCTCAACTATGGAAACCCGAATGACTGCGGACATTCCTCGGGGAGCCCGTTCCGCTTATAGTACGCCCGAGTATGTTCGGGACTTAACTGTCACCGACTTAAGTCCCTGTTGTTCTACATTTATGACTGTATGATGAAGGACGTCTTGTAACTGCGGTGACTCACAGTTGTTAAAAAGCATGTTTATTGAAGGTTTTATACGGGCTCCAAGTTTTCTGGAAATCTGCTCGGCTAAAAGCAACAAGCCTTACTGTGTTGGCCTTCACCATGGCTCAAAAACTGACATCTACAGAAAAGTGTGGTCTCATTTTGAACCGAAACATCTGCAGATTAATTCCATATCCGGTATTTTACGATCCACTAAAGTTAGGAACGATACCATTTTTTTGTTATTTTTACTGCCATCTTGACTGTAAGGGAGCCAAAAGGGACAATTCCATTGGGTGGAGCTGCACTGCATTCTTGCTGCGACCTGGTTTGGTTTCTGTTCTGTCGTACCACACCGAGAGAATTGCTTGCCCGATTTTGGTAAACTTATAGGTTTAGTTGATTTGGTCATTTTTCTTTGATATTTGCTCTTCTCTGTTGATATTTGCAGTTAAATGGTTTCTTTTTTCCTGTTTTCATTGTTGTTATTTCCTACTTTGTAGTGCCGTAGCCCACAGATAAAGTTAATACAGTTAAAAGTCCAGTTATGAACGACATGGATCAAAGACTTGTGGTTTTATTTTAGTTGTTAACAATCCATACATCCTCATATTTATACTGTATTTCTATTTAACATATAGTGCCTGTTAGCAGGACAACTTGATCTCCTGGGTGCATATTTATTAGCTTCTGGGATGCTTTTTGAAAGTCCTGTGGCACGTCTGGTGGAGTTACAAGAATTGTGTAGAGTGGCTGCAATCAGCTCGGGTGGACACATGTTGGAGATCTACACTTTTCTTCTTGGCTTCTTTGACTCTGAACAATCCAAAACTGAAGTGGCAACACAACGAAGACAGCTTTTAGTCTTTGCTTCAGACCAACGAAAACAAATTGTCGGTGTTAAATTCACCTGAACTGGTCAGCATTTGATGCCACCTGAACTTTCCCGTGTTAATTGAACCAAGAAAGAAAGCAAAGTGAGAAGCAAACAGTCCGCAGGTGGTTAACCAATCGTAAAGCAGGCGGGGTTGGAGCTGTGCCAAGAGATAGGCTCGATGTTCAAAGAGTAACCCTGAGCTGCTTTGTCCATGCGTTCGTCAATATTTAACCAGCTTATTTATTTTTTTCTGGCAAGTGTGAAGTTCAGGGCTTCACATGGGGCTGCACTGAGGCTGGATGAGACGCACAGGAAACTCCCTCAGCCCACTTCCTCTTTTGCATTGTTGCAGAAAAAGGAAGAACGCTCAACAGGTCCGCGTTGAGTTTCCTGTCGAGTAAACCGATGGGTCAGTTCACATCCGCAGACATGTGGAAGTCCTACTTTGTTTTAATCAGATTTCAAACACAGTTCCTCACACAGCCATGACTCGCGCACATCTGCAGATCAGGAAAATGTCACCTTTTTTTTTTTTTCTCCTCAGTGTTTAGTTTATGGCAGCTGCTGGTCGGGATCCACTCTCAGACAGACAGCAACATGTCTTTGTCACGGAGCACACAGTCTGAAACACCTCTGCTTGTCCTT